TATATATATATATATATATATACTGTATATATACACTGCAAAAAAATAAATAAATAAAGGTAAAACTCAAATAAAACATCCTAGATCTGAATGACTTGCACATTCTAAATGAATACTTTGTTCTTTACAAAGTTGAATGTGCTGACAACAAAAAGCCCTATTCACTTAAAATGGAATACAGAGAAAATTATCTTAACAAAGGTAGTGCTCAAGAGATTTTTAGGTGGCTTTAATTTAGTCCTATAAGGACTGTTAATCATCCTCACTTACCTCCAGCACAGAGCCACCTCCCCCGATGCCCAGCATCTGAGCTCTTTGCTTGGGTAGATTTATAAGGAAGTCCCACTGACTCTTTTTTTCAATGCTTTTGGGGCTTTTCCAAAAATTAATGTTCTCCTTCATGTGATTCAAAAGCTGTTCATAGAAAACAATTTAGCAGCAGTCCGTAATATTAAATTTCACCTGGCTGTCATTGTGTATGCAGACAGCGAGACCTTGACAGGAAATGCTATGGGTTGGAAGGTGTAACGGCAGGTCCAAAGTAAAGGGTCTGGAAGGCTGGTGATTTACTTAACATTAAACAATCATTCCAGCCACTAATTAAGTTAAACATGCCCTCTTTTATATTTATTCACAGCTCAGGAATGACATGTGAATGAAATATTTTTATATCACAAGTGCACTTTTTATATCTATTTATAATAACTTTATATCAGGAGCGTTTGCTTGGATGAGATGTCATCATAAATAAAAATGTTAAAAACAAATCAGCACAAACGACAGTTTTACCTGCATAAATCAATTAGCACTGAAAAAGTGGGTAGCACTGCTGTCTTGCAGCAAGAACGTTCTGGGTTCGATTCCTAGCCTAGGGTCTTTCTGCATGGTTGTATGTTCTCCCTGAGCATGCGTGGGTCTATCCAGGTTTTCCGGCTTCCTCCTACAGTCCAAAAACATGACTGTTAGGTTAATTGGCTTCTCTAAATGCTCCTTAGGTGTGAGTGTGTGCATGAATAGTTGTTTGTCCTGTTTGTCTCTGTGTTGTCCTGCGATACTCCACATCTTGCTCATAGAAAGCGGGAGATAGATACCAGCACTCCTCCCACCCCAGCAGGGATAAGTATGATGGAAAATGAATAGATGGATGGAATGGATCTCTGAAACAACAGTAGCAGACATTAATTTTATTTCTTTTAATTTTTACAAATGACCATTTAAAATGCATAAACCTGCACTAATGAAGCATTAACTATTCAGTTTTATACATAACCCTAGTCATAACACCAAATGTCAAAACATCACACAAAAAATGTATCAAATCTATCAAAAATTTAAGACTTATCAATGTTTAACTAAAGTGTTTAACCCAAGTCATACTATTAAAAGGAAACTATTGAAAAGGCGTATGATAAGTTATGGGAAATATATATAAACGCTTATATAATTTTTAAAGGTAATATGTCATACATTTGTCTTTCATTTATCAAATGGAGATCTCATTTTATCCCAACTAACCGAAAAAAGAAAAAAAAGTTCCAACTGTATGTTGCTTTTAATGGACTTACTATATTTAACATGCTTTTAATGACTTTCTATGCCCCCCAGTCCTACTTTCCAGGATGGAGAAGAAATGGGTGAATTTTCCTTTATCCATGCCCTCACTGGCTGGACACCTGTAATAAGCCCTATAATGTAAGATTTTTGTTGATTGCAAATTCATTATAAATAATTCTCTTTGGTTTTGGAGTAGCTTATCTGCAGACCCAGCTATGTTAAGTCAGCGGCTAACTGTTAGCCACTAACCAGTGGTAGGATTTTTTGTTCTAACTTTATTTATCACAATTCTAGTTGAACTGCATCAATCAGTATAAAGATAAAAACAAACAAAACAAAGCATATATTTTAGATAACTGCATAGAATATTTTCAATTTCACATTAATCCTTTTTACAAAGTGATTTGTCTAAAATAAATTCTGTCGTCCTTCCCTCTCAGGCCAGGGCACTCAAACAAAATATGGGATTTCCTTCAAGACACCATTCCTAAATTTAAACAAGAGGATGAGAGTTTGGCAGCGATGAAGACTGACATTGAAGATCCAGCTGGAGGGACAGATTTCCATCTAAATGACAATAAGAGTCTGCTGCTGGAGACAGATAACAGCAAAGGTCCAGATTGTTCCATAATTAGACCCACACAGTGCTGTCACAGCATCATACATTTTGTGCCTTTGCTCCTTTACATTAGTTAGTCAATCAAGCATCTAATTATACACACGCTAGTCTTTGCTATTTTTTTGCTTGAGATCTTCTCCTTTGGGGTCTATAGAAACATAGCTTAATTATTTTTCTGTTATTGTTCACTTAAATATATTAAAGTTGTACATTATTTGTTGTGAACAATACAACTCCCGAAGGTCAAAGTATTTTTCTGCAATTGTAGATTTAATTACCAAATCATGTTGGGTCTTTTTTTAATGCTTTTTTTTGTTTGTTTCAGTGTCCAGCATCGCTTTTTTTCATGAGTTAATGTATTATGGAGTGCAGGGAGGGTTAATGTATGCAAGTATTTTTTGATCATAAATAAACCAGCAGAGGGAGCAGTAGTAGGTTGAATAGTCTGGTCCTCCTCCGGGGCAAAAGAGCCTCCCATCTCAAGGGTGGTTATTTTTCCCATTCAGAAAGAAATACAAAATCCTGAGAAATACTGTATGTATCCGAATGAATCTGAAGGTAATCTATAAAGACTTTATGATATATTTGCATTGTCCAAACTACTTGGTCGATTGTGAAATAGAACTCAGAAAATTGGGTGAAAACATACAGCACTTTTTTGCATGCTGTGTTACACCTTGCAATTTTCAGCTGACAAGTGGTATAAACCTTTTTATTTCTGTGATGTTTAGCTACTGACTGCTTTTTTGTCTCCTGTCTTCCCACTCATTTGTAAATACCATAACCAAAGTTTGTAGAAAAATAACCAGACAGCTTCTTGCAAATCCTGTGTGCAATACATGGTGAACTTTAATCAGTACTTCTACACGTTTCAGTTACAAAAAAACTTTTATACATTTAACAATTGATAATATAAAACCCCCTAAAAACATTTTATCTCCACTTTCAATTTATTAGATTATTGTTGTTTAACTATTAGATGCAGTTCCAAAAAAATGCAAAGAGGCCTGTGTTTTTTTAACCATGAAAAAAATATGAAAAGGTTAATAGAGTTAAATACCTTTGTAGAGTGCTATGGGATTTTGAATTTTTAATATTAACTTAATATTGAAGATTAATGGTGTTGTGCTGTTTAATCAAATATAAAAAAGCCCTTCTTTGTAAGTGCCACTGATGTGCATTGCTATATTAAGACCCCAAAAACATCAGATAGAATAATTTCAGAATTTTAATTTTGGATGTGCAGCCTTTATAATAAGTTTAATACTTTTCTTGTTGTCTAGTCCATCTTCCCTTTTGTAGTTAAATCTCTAGATGCACTAAGCTAGGTTGTAGTTTATCTTTTTTTCTCTGTATTTTTTACAGGTGCCCTAAAAGTGGCAGTTTGTGCCAGCTTCTATCCTTTTCAACAGCAAAACAGTTTTGGGCGTCTTCGAACGGTATTTATTTCTCCAGTGTTCTTTTCTTTCTCACCACGTAGGCTTTTTTTTTTAATTTTATTTTTTTTTTCTAACCGAGAATTGGTTGAAAAAAAAAAACAAATAGATGAATCTATATGCATTAATTGTTATTCATATTTCATTGTAAGTCTAATAAGAATGCATAAGGATTAATTTACAAATGCTTACATTATGAATTGCATCTTGTTATGGTTTATTTTTCTTCCAGGGCTTCTACAACCACTTATTCAGATTTAACTGGCAATTACTTTTTTGCTAATATGATTTGAATAGCTTTTTTTCAGCTAAAAGCAATTTTTTGTAACATATGTCTTCCTGGGCTTGGTTTCGTTTAATAACAACATTTGCTTAATGATCTATGACAAAAAAGAAATCTATATGAGACAAATACTTTTTTATTAATATTTATATTATATAAATATTATTATTTTTAAAGTATTTACTTTTTCTAAATACTTCACGTTTTTATGTCTCTGCACCCAATATATATGATCATGCAGGCAAATTCCCAAGAACTTTTACGTCACTATGGCTTGTCAATGCTACATAGCCATGTTGTCCTGCTGACCAGAACCCGAACGTGTCAACTGCATCCCACTCCCAAACCCTTGACTGTGCCCCAATGGAAGCTCATCCGTCCACGCAAGAAGACAGTGATTTCATCTGAACC